GCTTGTTATAAATAGTGAGTCTCTTCTGGTTGCAAATTGTCATAAAAAGTTTGATATAAGTATAAAATTAATGAAGAGGACATTTTCTGGAATGAATCAACCAGTGGTTTGATAAATATTTTTTTCCAATTCATTTGGAGGTATATTTTTCGCTATATTGTTGAATATCTATTTTATATTGGAAAAGTGAGTCATATGGGACAAGCAAAATCTTCATTGAGATGAATGGTTATGCTTCATATTTATTTGCTTTGCCAAGTGGTCACTGAAATTTCTTTCACCCTGTAATGTACAAAATTGTGGTTTAGAATAGCTTGAAACGTTCTATCAGAACTGTGCAACCAGTCTTTACTAAGTAAATTTTTTTTATTGGCTGTACATCAGGTGAGTGTTTATTTTGCTAGGCCTCTTGTAAGACCTCAATTTGGAATTATTTGTTTTACAATATACAACTTCTTTACAGAATTCAAAGTCTTTCTACAAAAGAGACAAGGGAAGGCGTCAGTTATTTGACAGGATGTGATCTCCACCATGCCTCGGACATTGATGAAATTCCAGCTCCAAAAACAATTCCAAAGTATGATCATCTTCCTTCAAGTCAGTTGTTAAATGCTGAAGAGATCTATTTCGACTTGGAAACTACTGGACTCGGTAAGAACCTAAATGAGTTTTGAATGTCTAGTCAATGCTGATGGTTATGGCACTCTTCCAGTATTTCTTCTATATGCATGTCAAAGGAATAAACCCAGCATTTTGTAAACAGCAAGAAAATTTCTAATCTGTTTGTCACAAAAACCACCAAGAAGTGTTTATCACAAGATATGGGAATCACGATCAAGTAAACAATTCTATAAAAGAAGGATCTATCATGTTTTGCGGTTGAATATGATTGAATATGATATTCTATCTCCAAGCCTTAGCAGCAAAACTCCATGACAACACTTTCAGTCATAAACAATTGTGATATCACACCCATGTAATCTCAAAATTTATTTCCTGATTGATATCCACCAGATGTATGGGAAGCATATGCAAAAGGAATGTATGAAAACATGATTAATTTCGAAGATTTGAGACACTCATATGACCTTTTGTAATTGGTCCCTGTCCACTGTCTGCCATGTGTAAACTAATAAACATTTTTAACTTCCTGAAAACTATATGGCTCCCCCCCCCCCCCCCCAATGTTTGGTATAAAGCATCTTCAGAGTAAAGAGGAATTTAAATGTTATGGCTCTTGCACCTCAGAGGCCTGTGGGTGGGACAAAAACCAATGAAACTAAATGCACATAATTTATACAGAGGTAATATATGTTTTTCAAAAATTATATATTTTCTGTTGCTAATATTGAATAAAAGCAAATGCATATTTTGAAATGGCATAAAAGAAGTTTTTAAACCTCTATGATTCTGGTATTGGTAGTTGAGCATGTTTTATATCATTCTTTCAAAACTTTACTTTTCCTAATCTGACAACACTGAATTAAAAGAAAATGCATACTCTGAAAGAGTTCAAGCATTTTCGACAGGAGTTAAGGCTTGGGGAAGAGGGGCACTAGTATTTCATTGTTTCAAAATTTTTGAAATAGTGCATATATCAATGGATTTGTTTGGATATTTTATGTTTTGAATTTCAAAAACTTGAATATACTTGTTTTTATTTTCAGCAAGGGATTCTCATATTGTGCAGTTATCTGCAGTTAGAAATGATGAGGTATTCAACAAGTACATCATTCCAAAAAAACCAATGACATCAAAAGCTACAGAAATAACTGGAATACAAGTAGTCAACAATAAAATGTACCACAATCATGAGGAAGTTGAGACAGTCAGCATTAAAGATGCTCTGATCCAGTTTATGGACTTCATGAAGATGTCGGGTCCAGATGTTGTTCTAGTTGGGCATAACTCTAAAGTGTTTGACCTTCCTGTGCTCTTCAACATTTTGAGTAAACTAAACATTTTGGAGACATTTTCATCTGCAGTCACTGGCTTCATTGATACAATTCCTCTTTTCAAAATGACACATCCAAACCTTTCGTCATACTCGCAGTTACACCTCTTTGCAGAAATTCTACAAGACAAATACAGTGCGCATGACTCATTACAGGATGTCATAGCCTTGAAGAGATTGGTCGATCATACAGGACCCTCCCATGAAGTCAAAGTTGCTGCATCCTTCACCTTGAACTCTGCCGTTGCCGTGTTTCATCACAAGAACACAACAAAGCATCTAATGAGTACACTAAGGCCTTTATTGGACCAAAAGGTAATTTCGAATGGAATGGGAAATAAGATTGCCGGCAGTGGACTCTCCTTATCCCACTTACAACTTGCATATCAGAGAAATGGTAGGGAGGGAGTGCAGGATGTGCTGTCAGAGATAGCTGATAATAGTGTGCGTGTGACAAAATCTAAAAAAATCATTGATTCTGTTGCAGATTATTTCAGGTCTGAGCAGTAATGCAGTTATTTGTTTGTGAATGTATGATGTTCTTTGTATGTTATTGTTTGTTTGTTTGTTTTACGTCCCTTTGAGAATTTTTCACTCAAATTGGAACCCCACGAGTTGTTGATGTACTAGTAATGCCCCCGCTCTGAGCACTGATGTGAATATACCCTCTGATGTGAATATACACAAGTTCAGCTATGGACAGACACAGGAATAAACAGGAAGTTGACACTGGATTCGTACAAAAATGAATCCCACCAAATGGCATGCCTAAACAAAGAGTGTGCTAAGATTTCAAACATCTCCGATGAGTAGTTGCTGAGAAAACTGTGACGAAAATTTGTTATGCATGGTATTGACAGACGCACAGATAAACAGGAAGTTGAAATTGGATTCGTACAAAATAAATCTTACTATATGGCATGCCTAAACAAAGTGAGTGTTAAAACTTCAAGTATCTGCTATAAGTGGTTGCTGAGAAAACTGCGACAAAAATTTGTTATGGACAGACAGACACACAAGGATAAAACAGTATATACTCCCTCTCCTTCGGAGTGGGGGTATAATTATGCAATGCACTGTTGTATATGAAACATGTTTCAATGTCTAGTGTTATTGGTAGTTTGTAGTTGAACAAAACATTTTCTTTCCATTCAAAATAAATCCAATTTAGAAACTGAATTGACAATGATTTATTGACCATACATGAGAATCTAAATTCTGTTCATTGATATTTATTGAAGAAAGCTATGTGCATAAATTGAAATATGCACAAATGAATATGAAAGGACATACTGCAAATGTATATTGTGCATGCACTATACTTGGTGGTGATTAATTTTTCAACAAGTCAAGCTAGGTTTGATTTTGGCACATTTCTGATTGTGTACCAATAAATATACACGTCATAAAGTTTGTGATGTTCTTGATATAGCGGAAGCAGCTTTCTGTCAAAGACGATAAAAAACCTTTATGTTTACAGTATACAGCAGTGCCATTAAATTTTTGTATGTTACATGTACCGGTAACAATTTGAAATACCGATAACTATCACAATGTCTGTAAACTTTTCACATTTTTGATTTCTTCTCAAGAACCACTGGACCAATTTCAACCAAACTTGCCACAAAACATCCTTGGGGTAAGGGGATTTAAGTTTGTTCACAGGAGTGCCACGCCCTCTTTCAAGGGAAGATAATTAAGAATTTGGTAGCATCTTTAAAAAAATTTCTCAAGAACCACTGGGCAAGAGAAGATGAAACTTGTGTGAAAGCATCATTACATACTGTAGATTTAAGTTTTGTTAATCTGGGAAGTTTATATACTGAGACCAGCTTTGTAATATGAAAGATTAAAACCCAAAGAAGTAGAGTTTTCAGAATTTTTCCAAGAATGAAATTTAATAATCTGTATCCAGTCTTCTTGCAAATAAATATTCTGTCTTGAGAGGGCACGAAAATAATCTGACTCGATAACCCCCCCCCCCCCCTCCCCCCCTCTTTCCCCCTCAATATCAAATATAGTCGTTCACTAATATATTTTAATGTCCTTTTTTTAAGAGAAAGAATGAGTTTTAATACAATCATACATTCATGCAAATGGAAAATTCATCAAAAATAACAGGCTAAATAATGTAGGAAGCAAATATAATCAATCCGAATTTCCTCTGTTCAAAATTTGAGGAAAATTCGGTCAGAGGAAATTCAAATGAAAATATCTTTTAAAGTAACTCATGTAGATATACAATATTTTACATTGTTTGAAAGCACTACAACTAAGAAATAATTAACTAGAAAAAAATTAACTTTTTAATTATTTCTAATTCATTTTCCAAGCTTATTTTACAAGCCCCCAAAATGAAAAATAAGCGAATTTTTGCACAGGGGTGTGTGCATTTTTTTAAAGAATTAATTTTATCTTCGGTTGATTACCATCATTATTTCATCAATATTTATTTTCCTTATGACTACTTTTAAAAGATAACAAAAAGTCAAAATGATTTGAAAATATTTTTTAGGTTAAAGGGAATATTAAATACGTTGGACGCATTTTTGGTCTTTTTCTTTACTAAAATGAGAGATTTACCTCCCTTTGGCATAAACGCCTATAGCTTGTAAACCAAATCATATACATATGCATTTTTTTGGCTTAAAATAATTAATTATGTTTATTCTTACAATTAAAAAAGAAAAATTAAATTTTTAATTATTTTTGTTGTCAGAAGCCAAACACCTTAAGAAAAAAATCATAAAGTAAACGTAACGATACATGCATGAAAATAGTGTTATACATCAATACTGTTTTTTTTTAACAGTGTGGCAGCATTCGAAAATTTCCCAAACTTAATAGATTTTTAACATTATTAGTACTTGGCAATTGAATTAATCTAAAGACACTAGGCTTAGTATAATAGTACTTTTTCAAAGATTTCTACCTTAGGAATAACTGATTTATGCTTGCTTTATGCACAGGGATCGTTTTCAATCAAATATTTCATAATTTAGAAAATTATGTCAGTATACTGATTCTGGAGGCTTTGTTGTCTTACCTTAATAAGAACAGCTAGAACTGAGATCAGCATTATTGTATATTGAATAACATCTGTCCATATAACAGCTTTGATGCCTCCCTGCAAATGAAATACTTAGCAATTCATTCTGTTACTCTCAATTTACTACTGAATGTACATGTATATGTTTCGTCCCGTTTATTTTTTTTTTCTTTGTCTTTTTGTTTGTTTGTTTTGTTTAATTTGTTTTTGTTTTTTTTTTTGTTTTTTTGTTTTATTTTGCCAATTACACTTGTAAACGATTTGCAATTTTTTGAAATTCGGTCAGACATAGTTATTACTATGTCATTGTTGAATTTTTCCTGTTTTGACGACAAGTACGAAAATAGAGGTTGAGGCTATCTGGTACCGCTTGCAGGGATGGCTGGCAGGAGTTATCTCTCCATAAGTGCGTACGAGTTATCTCGCATTACAACGGTGATAACCATGAATTTGTACCCTTATTAAAAAGTTCCACATCAATCGTTCTCTAGAAAGATTAATGTGTATTTAATATGTAAAACGTAATAATTAAGAGAGAGAGAGAGAGAGAGAGAAATTTATGTTTTCTAATTAATGCTGATCTTAAGATCTTGCGAACTTGGGGGTGGTAAGGGGGAAGGGGTCGTCACAATAATTTTAACATTAATAAAATGGAAACAAAGGTGTTTAACAGAGCTATGGACCCCCCCCCCCCCAAACATATGCATGACGAAGTTTATTTACTTAAATATTTAATTGTTGTATTTATTTATTTATTTACAATGTATTTCATTCATATATATTGGCTTTTTAAGGAATTTCTCTTTGGTTTTGTCCCCAAACTTTTTAATTAATATTGCCTAGAGAGCACAACCCTGGATCAATGGAGAGCCGCGATTCCCAGGCCAATAAATATCAACCCCCTCCCCCCCTCACACACACACCTCCCTACACACACAGAGAGAGAGAGAGAAACCCGCCTGATGCAAGATATGCAATTTTATGAACGGGATGCGTCTTGATATAAACAGCATTACCAAAAAAAAAAAAAAGAAAAAGAAAAAAGAATGCTCATAGTTTAACGGTATAACTCTCTGTATAATATTCCTATTTTAGAATTTATGGACTTTTGCTGCTGCAAGCAAAAAACTTTTCATTCTAACTGCTCAGTATTTTTCAGTGAATAATTCTTCATTTCATTTTTTTTTAATGCTTTGGCACCATTAAACAGTATCAAATGCTTTAAAAAAAAAAAACTAGGGACATTTAGACAAAAATATCGGTTTATTTCCTATCATTCGATATATTGGTGGTAAAGAGTGCTTGTGATTATACAGATTTAGCTCATGCTTCAACTATTATTAAAGTTTATCTAAATTTGGCACTCTGAGAAATATGGCCAAACATGAGAGGATTGTTATAAGAAATTAGGACATAGCTGAGCAATCAACCCCTCATACATTTTATTGAAATTAAAACAAAACATTAAGATTAAACAGAAAAAAAGTATCGAGAACTGGATTATTTTGAGGGTAATTTTATTCTAAATATGCAAAAAACAAACACAAAAAAGGAGAAGACATTTACGTCACATGATAAAAAAATAAAGCACTCTTACCTCTAACAGGTACCAGATAATGATGCTATCTACCTCTAGCAGGTACCAGATAATGATGCTACCTACCTCTAACAGGTACCATATTACAGGACAACCTACCTCTAACAGGTACCAGATTTCAAAGCTACCTACCTCTAACAGGTACCAGATTACAGGACAACCTACCTCCAACCGGTACCAGATTTCTAAGTTACCTACCTCTAACAGGTACCAGATTATAGGACAACCTACCTCTAACAGGTACCTGATTTCAAAGCTACCTACCTCTAACAGGTACCAGAGTTCAAAGCTACCTACCTCTAACAGGTACCAGATTTCAAAGCTACCTACCTCTAACAGGTACCAAATTACAGGACAACCTACCTCCAAAAGGTACCAGATTTCTAAGTTACCTACCTCTAACAGGTACCAGATTTCAAAGCTACCTACCTCTAACAGGTACCAAATTACAGGACAACCTACCTCCAACAGGTACCAGATTTCTAAGTTACCTACCTCTAACAGGTACCAGATTTCAAAGCTACCTACCTCTAACAGGTACCAGTTTTTAAAGCTACCTACCTATAACAGGTACCAGAGTTCAAAGCTACCTACCAGGTACCAAATTACAGGACAACCTACCTCTAACAGGTACCAGATTTCTAAGTTACCTACCTCTAACAGGTACCAGAGTTCAAAGCTACCTACCTCTAACAGGTACCAGATTTCTAAACTACCTACCTCTAACAGGTACCAGATAACAGGACTACCTACCTCTAACATGTACCAGATTACAAGACTACCTACCTCTAACAGGTACCAGATTTCTAAGTTACCTACCTCTTACAGGTACCAGATTTCTAAGTTACCTACCTCTAACAGGTACAAGATTGCAGGACTACCTACCTCTAACAGGTACCAGATTTCTAAGTTACCTACCTCTAACAGGTACCAGATTTCAAAGATACCTACCTCTAACAGGTACCAGATTTCAAAGCTACCTACCTTTAACAGGCACCAGATTATAATGTACATACTTCTATGCAGCACTTTATTATGAAGCTACCTGAAGTTATTTATCACATACAGGTACCAGATTATGAATCACCTACCTAAGATTTACTAAATTGTGGATTACTCTTCCTGTAACAAGTTCCAGAGTTTTACTTACATGTTACTATGCCAAGAGCCATAATGCAGAAAAATTGAGATCACAGGAAAAATTCAATTTTTTGAAAAGATTGATCAAGATTATAGAGTGTAATTAAAATATATATCAGCGACAGATAAGGAAATCATTTGAATCTAGTACAGCAAGCAAAAATATGGTTTTCACAGTTATAATCCAGTTCCTTTACTTGTTGCTGTTATTTAAACGTTAAAGTCTCTAGTAAAACACAGTTTTAATTGATTTTAATAATAATTAAACATAACAAAGCAATTTAATTGGATGATTTTTGGTATTACAATTTAGTTCCTGAATAATTTAATTTTTTCATACTTATTTCGTTTCGCTATTATTCTGTTAATTAGTGGCTCAGATTTGACTTGAAACAACTAAATTGAAATGACTCAATGGAATTTCTTGGATATTGCATCAATAGCGTAATTATTGGACATATTTTTATATATTGAAAAATATTAACGCACGCTATCTACAGTACATCTTTCAAAATGATGTGCGAGGTGCACTTGCCATTAATTGTGCGCTTTTTATCGTTCTAACTTTTCTCGTGCAATATGGCGACAGTGACCATAGATGTGAAAAAAAAGTTTACTAACAGGTCGCCAGTCTATGTTAGGAAAAACTATGCATGAAATAAACGTAAAACGTGAAATGTTTTGTTATAACAAGCTGTACATATCTGCCGTATAAATAGTCATCTACGTGGCCATGTCTATATTAGAGAAATACCGACATCTTACGAACGAACGTAACTCGCCCTAACTTCCCGTATCTCGGTAGTTTTCCCGGGACCAGTTATTGCACCTAGTTTAAAATTAATAAATCGGAAAAATTAAGTATATGTGTATAATAGAACGGACAGTATTTCAATCACTTTGTAAATGATAATTTCTTCTGTCTAATTTTCAGTAATCACTTACAATGTAATTAAAAGCGGACAAACAGAAGAAAATACGCCAAAATACCTATGACGGGTTAGGAAACACATTTGTCATGCGTCAGTGGTTATACGTATACATATATATATATTAGTGTGCGCTGTGTTCATTTGGGGAAAGTTACGTTTTATAGCATGGATGAAATCTAAACTCATACCCTGTATAAATCCATGCAAAGGCAACAAGTTACTAGGTGATGCGCTTATATAGTGTCTTGTATTTAAAAGTGTACATTTATGTGTTTGTAAGAGAGAGAGAGAGAGAGAGAGAGAGAGAGAGCACAATGGACAATAATTGTTGTAATGAATTATACAGTGTAACATTGTTTTCTAACGTTTCAGAAATCAACCATTAAAAATCAGAAAATAGTTGGCACTTCTCCGGAAAACGTAATATTTTTAAAGTGCTCGCGCGTAGATGTTTGTGTACTTGGGGAGGGAGAGGGGTTCGAAGCTCAACTAATCGAATCAAATGTCCATTTTCAATACATTTAAGTAAATACATGGAATACTACGATCCATATACTACAATCTTTATAAAAGTGGAATGGGGCAATGCATGTATATGCAATAATTTTTTTCCATACCGTATCTAGTAAAAGAAAAAGTAACTTCATAAAGAAAGAAGGGTAGGTTTTTCTTTATGTGAAATATCACTTCAAAGAAATAAAAGAGCATTCATATGATAGACAGTGTCTTCTTGGATGATGTTTTATGTTGCAATCTTCACTTAATTTATCTTTCGGCTGCCTTTCATGATATATGTTATATCTGTATAGACATGTGGATGATAAAAGCTGCAAATTATGCATTTGGGTAGGGTCAGAGACGTAGCATCATTTTTTTTAAATGGGGAGGGGGGGGGGGGGGGGGCAGCCAGAGAAAAAATTCAACCTACCTGAAAAAACCTGACAAGCAAAAAAAATTTCTTCTTTCGCTACCAATTTTTTTCATACTTTACTACATTAGCCTTATTTGACTGTACTGCAACGAAGGGGGGGGGGGGGGGGGGCAACCGGCCTTTATATGAACATTTCAATAGTAAAACGTTATGCTTGGAAAAAAGAGGGGGCCAGGCCCCCTCTGCCCCTTCCTGTTGCTACGTGCCTGGTGACGTCAACATGTCATATTGTCATTCTGTACATATTGTCGTCGGTGACAACATGTACCTACCCTCACTGGACATATTGTCGACAATCGGTACATACTGAGGCGACAATATGTACCGAGCCTTTTTTTCATCCTGCATAATAGACGACAAAATGTACAGTCGCGCATCGGCACATATTGTCGTCGGCGACAATATGTACTAGCTGTGTTCATTTGCACATTTTGTGGCCGATATATTGTGTTGAAGAATATTTACTAAGGTTTTGAAG